TATCACTTAGTAGGTCTGATCTAGAAATAGTGTTGGGCATGCTGACTGGTCACTGTAATATTAGATATCTGACCTCAAGATGCGACAACAGTGTTCCTGACTACTATAGACTATGTGAAGATAAAGAAAAGATAGGGACGATTAAACATCTATTTTGCACATGTTCTATGTTATCCAAAAAAAAAAGGCATAGCCTCTTTGACGTTCTTCTCAGACATATATCCCATCATCATTTAAAAATTTATCAAAATCATTCCCTTGCTAGGCAGGCCACACTCCTAACTACACTTTTCTCTGTAATTATTATACCCTCCACCATACTATGGAGGGTATATTAATTTTGTCATTCCGTTTGTAACTCCTCGAAATATTCATGTCAGACCCAACAAAGTATATATATTCTTGATCAGCGTAAAATTCTAAGACGATTTCGCCATGTCCGTCTGTGTGTCTGTCGGTCTGTCTGTCTGTCCGTCTGTCTGTCTGTTGTAATCACGCTATCTTTCGAACAAATTGAAATAGAAGGCTAAAATTTTGCACACATGTATTTTTTCCCAGTAGGCAGGTTAAGTTCGTAAATGGGCCATGTAGGTCCAAGTTATCATATAGCCCCCATATAACGGTACCTCCCGATATTCGGTATTTTGATGATTTTAGCGACATGATGATTTTAGCGACATTATTCACCGGAATTATTTCAAATTTTGCATTTGAAGTTTGTAATGGATAATACAGCCTAAGACAGAAAATTATCTGTGCAGGTCCACGTCTTCCTGTTGCCCCCATATAACGGTACCCCCCGATATTCGGTTTTTTGATGATTTTAGCGACATTGTTTACCGGAATCGTTTCAAATTTGGTATTTGAAGTTCGTAATGGATACTACATCCTAAATCAAAAAATGAGCCATGTAGGTTCACGTCTTCATATAGCCCCCATATAACGGTACCCCCCGATATTCGGTATTTTGATGATTTTAGCGACATTGTTTACCGGAATCGTTTCAAATTTGGTATTTGAAGTTTGTAATGGTTACTTCATCCAAAGTCAAAGAATGACCCATGTAGGTCCACGTCTTCATATAGCCCCCATATAACGGTACCCCCCGATATTCGGTATTTTAATGATTTTAGCGACGTTATTTACAGGGATTGTTTTAAATTTCGTATGGGAAGTTCGTAATGGATACTTCAGCCCATGCCGAAAATTGTCTGTGCAGGTCCACGTCTTCGTATAGCCCCCATATAACGGTACCCCCCATATTCGGTATTTTGACGATTTTAGCTACATTATAAACAGATTTTTCTTCAAGTTTCGCACTTAAATATTGTAACAACTTATGACAAAAGTTGCCTATGCAGGCCCACGTCGTCGTATAAGCATTCGGTATTTTTGTACCAAATGGTGGAGGGTATTAAAAGTTCGGCCCGGCCGAACTTACAGCTTTTTTACTTGTTTTTTTCTTCCTCTCACTTCAATATCTCTCCTATTCTCAATTTTCCCATTTCTTCCTAGATCGAACACAATGGACCAAAGGTATCAGAATGAAGCCTTTGCCGAACTTGTGTAGCTGGGCATTCTTAAACCAAATCACATCTAATTTTTCCGTACAAAACAATTTCAACGTCTCCATAGGTAAACCCTAGAAACCAACACTGACCCCAATATTAAAAAGTGCAGAATTTTTAAAATTTTATTTTTCTTAAGAATATATTAACTTTATGGGGTCACAAATGAGTATTTCGAATGAATTTACCCTTTACCACACTTTATCTGGGGGGTATAAAAAGGAAACATATTAGGCTATGCATTCAACAGCAAACGCTGACCTTTGTTTTTTTGAATGATAGCAAAAAATGTAACATCTACCGTTATAGATTTCAAAAGAATCGCTAATTCTAATAATCCGTCTCTTTCATTAACTGTTAATGGTCATATTCTTAAAAAAATACGCACAGATACATGTACATACATACAATGCATTTCAAAGTGCCTGTGTATGCATTATTTTCCAATTTCACCCCACTTGGTCGTCCCTACTTCAATATTTGTGCTCTAATGTATTAACATTTCTATTGTTGAGACTTTGGCACAGCACTCCACTGAGTTTTCCTTGCTTTTCTTCATCCCCATCGTCATCATCATGTGATGGCATTACTGAAACGAAAAAAAAATCGTACGCACCCATTCGTCTATTCGACTAAACACGTCTACACGAAAGCGGCTCGTTAACAGCAAATAATTGCAGCGTAAACACTTTAGTTTCTTTCTAATTTCGTTCGTTTTTTTCTGTTGCGGAGCATTGCAATTGTAAAATAATTGTATTTTGTTGTTGCATATGTAGCATGCACCAAGACAGCCAGCCAGCTATACCACTTCGAATAACTCTGCTGCTGCTGTCACTTCGTGCTGCGTACTATACCGACTTCTAAACATTTTCATTGTTTGCACCATTAGAAAGAGGAAAAATTTAGTTCATTCTATAAATATATAGCTATTGTAACGAGAGTGTGGAATTGTTCATTTCTTTCCCGGGTAAGTTGCTGGCTGCTACAGCTAACAAACAGACAATGACCCAGACAATTGCCGATCACAGATCAAATCGAAATAGGCCGTCCCAAATAATGCCAAGATATTGGCATGCATGCAAAGAAAAATGGAGGAATATTTGGTTTTTCACACGTAAGGTTTTTAGAACGGAAAATTATACGCCTGATTTTTATTTTCAACTCCATTTTTACACCCTCGGCCATATGGCTACAGAGGGAATACATCAACGTGTCTCATGGAAATTACGGTCTTAGACAAATCCGTTTCAGGACATTTGGAGTCGATCTAGGGTTGTACGTCTGACTGGCTGGCTGGTGCGCACGATAAACCACGAATGGAGTATCCGATTAGATCCAAACTTCGTACATCGTAATACTATTGCCAAATTTAGATCAAGTTCTATGATGGGTAATATAGGCCCACTTCTTCTGAGACCTTCCACTCAAAGGGTCAACATTTTCACAAATCCCAATATTTGTATCAGTGTTATGTCAGGTAGAAAAATGGACAGTATCGACCCACTCCATCATGTACCTCCCACACAAAGGGTCAAAATTTTGAATAATTTGAACTCTTGGAAATAACGAAATAAGCATCAGAGTTTCTTCAAATTTCACACATTCCAATGTTTTTACAAACACAACACCTGTTGTGAAGATGGGATATATTGCTCCACTCCATCGGGTACCACCTCCATAAAAGGGTCAACATTTTGAGTACCCATGCATCCGATTATTTTCAAACTTGGCACATTCCAATATTTCTATCATCACATAATCGGGTGTAATGATGAAATATATCAGCCCACTCTTTCTGCTACCTCCCCCATAACGGGTAAACGTTTAAATTCATCTCTCATAAGATGGGAAGTAAGCATCCGATTCTCTTCAAATTTCACACATCCTTGCAAATTTAAATCAGACTTTGATCGGATACTGTTTTGAGACTCCCCCACAAATGGTCAACATTTTGAATAATCATGACACAAGTCAGAATATTTAATTAAACGAGCACTGACTGAAAATATACAGGGTGAGATAAAAAAAAAAACAAAGTCAAACGCCATCATTTTTACATTTTTTTTTTGAAATGTATTGTAACTGCCCGAATGTTGCTCTGCGGTATTTTGGCCCATTCCCGGTGAAGCGCTTGCTTAAGGTGATCGACACTATGGCATTTTGTAGTGGCAACCTTGCTTTGCAAAATACTCCAGGAGGTTTCGGTGGCCATTGTGCGCTGGAAATGAAGCGAGGAACCTCATTTTTAACCATTCTTGGGTGGCCCGTGCTGAGTGCGATGGTGCTGAGTCCTGTTGGAATGTCCAAGGTCTGCGGCCAAAATGTTTGCGTGACCAATGCTTTAACACACCCTCCAGAATAGTTTCCCGATAATATTCGGCATTGATTCTGATGCCACGGTGGATTTATACGAGCGGAGAGCGACCATCGGCTGTTATGGCGGCCCACATCATTACCATGGCCGGCGCTTGAGTTCTGGTGGCCAAGCGAAGGTGAACTTTTTCAGCTGACCTCTTTTGCCAGTAAACACGATCATTTTGTTTGTTTACAAACTGCAGGACAACGAAACCAAATTCGTCATTTCACCATTTTGGCCAAGCGAAGCAACTTTTAGCTCTTTTGAGTCTATTTTCTTTCTGATGCGGTGTAAGTTTTTGCACTTTTTGGAATTTCAATGGCAATACCCCGAGCTTTTTTTTTCAATATTTGCCGAATGGAATATTGCGATATGTTCAGCTCACGAGCCATTTTTCGGCCACTGAACCATTTCTACTAATGTTGCTGTTTTCTTCCGTCCACTTCCTTGCCGTCGGGCTAAGGTACCAGTATCACGGTAACCAGCGATGGTACAAGACACAAAAGATTTATTCACATTTAAATACTGGAGTGGTCTAACGATAGCCACTTGTAGTTTTCCAGCCATATACAAAGAAATCACAGTATCACGCTTGAATTCCATCACGAATAACTTTTTTTCTAGAAAATTCTCACCAAAATGCTTCTGTACGCTTGTAAGCAATATAATGAGCTGTCACTGGAATAATTTTAACAGTTGTCGGACGAGTGGCTTAGAAATGACAGCAGTCTGAAGTTGTTTGCAGTTTTTTCATCTCACCCTGTATATAGCCTTTATGTTATGGTGGAGGGTATAAAAAAACAAGGTCATAAGATCTATGTCTGAGAATCAGCCCCAGTGCCTTTTTAATCTTGAAACCGTCTGTGCTCCTTAAATATACTTAAACTGAGCAGAAAATTGAAGTGGCTGCAATAGCACACCATTCCTAAAATAAATTCTTATTCTTATTGAAATATCAGCATCTCTGATTACTTTAACCTTTCGATACCTCTTCGGCAAAATGTCCATCTATAGTTTTTGTTTCAATTTCCAACTATTCATTATTAATATTTTCTTTCATTTTCTTCTACTTGCAGAGTTCCAGCGTAAAAATGAATATTTGCATTGTTCTGCATAGTGTGGCTTAATTTGGACTGCTGATAAGAGGCAGACCCCATCTACACAACCACACCAGCACACAACAAATCCCTTTAGAGTGAAATTAATTGTCAGACACCGTCCTGGAAAACCTCCCCCCAGAAAAACAAAAAACAATAGAAAAATGTTTCGTTCATCGGCCGGTGAAAAGACTCAGTCACAAGCAACAACACCCGACTTGGATGACTCCATTAGTTTTTCCGATGATGCCAATCCTGATGTAGACGTTGTCGATGTCGATGTTGAATCGGTGGCCACCAAAAAACCACATTTTTTAGACTATGATGCCATACCACCACCCGATTTTATAGAACACTTTGACAGAGCCATGAATTTTGGCAATTCGACCAAATCCAGCAACACCACCAATCACCCTCAAAACACAAATAATTGCAGTGGTAGCGGCAGTGGTGAACAACTCAAAATGGATAAAAAATTTGAAAAGGATGGGGAAATAAGTGATTACGAACTGGCTGCTAGTGGTTATACCAAGAAAGAATTTACCCAAGATGATAATACCCTGAATTTGAATATATCTATGCAAAGTTCATCGGCTTGTGGTAAACCACGTAAACATTTCTTAGATGAAAATCCCATACCTCCCGATTACATGATCAACGAACATCAGTTGCGCGAACATCGCAGTTTGGATAGAAACTTTGAACGTCACAATGAACAACGTTCTGCCCTGGATTTGCATGGCAACTTGCCAGGCTTCAGATCTTCCCGTGAACGTTACAAAGATGTACCGCCAATGGCAAGATTACCCAAAGGCCTGGCATGGACTCAAAGTTTTGACAGTCGCTATGAAGGCAATTTAAATGCTGGCAACAAATTAGATGATTTCGAGCCCAAAGTTGAATGTGTCTATTCTCTGCTGTCCATGTTGGGTTCCAATGACCCGCTGGAAATGGCCAAGAAATTCCATGAGCTCTCCAAAAATCCTGAAACTTGTAATACCTTACGTAGATCAGGTTGTATACCATTGTTAGTGCAAATAATTCATGCCGACGGTGGACCCGATGAACCGAGAAAATGGGCGGGCATGGCCCTGCACAATGTAGTACACTCACATCCAGATGAAAAGTCAGGACGCAGAGAGGCCAAAGTCTTACGGCTATTGGATCAAATAATGGATTATTGCAACTTTTTGCGTACGCTCTTGCAAAGTGGTGGCGAAGCCATTGCCGACGACGCAGACCGTCATCCTTTGGCTGCCATGTCCTCCCTCATGAAGGTTAGTTTCGATGAAGAACATCGTCATGCCATGTGCGAGTTAGGTGCTTTGCAAGCCATTCCCAGTTTAGTGCACTTGGATCATGCTGTGCATGGTCCAAAGCCAGAAAATCAATGCTGCAACTCTTTGAGACGGTTTGCCTTGATGGCCTTAACCAATCTCACATTTGGCGATGAAAACAATAAAGCCTTGCTCTGCAGTCAAAAGCTGTTTATGGAAGCGCTGGTCGCTCAACTGGACTGTGCACCCGATGATTTGCTACAAGTGACGGCAAGCGTATTGCGCAACCTATCCTGGAGGGCAGATGCTCAAATGAAGGCGGTACTAAATGAAATTGGAACTGTGACGGCTTTAGCCAAGGCAGCCATGAAGAATAAATGTGAGAATACCCTAAAAGCCATACTGTCGGCATTGTGGAATCTATCGGCCCATTGCAGCACAAACAAAGCGGAATTTTGTGCAGTCGAGGGGGCATTATCCTTCATTGTGCGCATGCTAACCTACGAGGGTCCCAGTAAAACCTTGAAAATTATTGAAAATGCTGGTGGCATTTTGAGAAATGTCTCCTCGCACATTGCGGTGCGCGAGGATTACCGCCAAATCTTGAGGGAACACAATTGCCTGTCGATTCTGCTGCAGCAACTGAAATCGGAAAGTCTAACTGTGGTAAGCAATTCTTGTGGTACTCTGTGGAATTTGTCGGCACGTTGTCCCGAAGATCAGAGGTTTCTGTGGGATAATGGTGCGGTGCCCATGTTGAGGTCCCTAATACACTCCAAACATGCCATGATCTCTGAGGGCAGTGCCTGTGCTCTGAAAAATCTCTTGAATTTTCGTCCATCTGCACAGAATACCAACCATTTGGACCCAATTGCCAGATCATTAAATTTGAAAAAATTACCAACTCTCAATGTACGAAAGCAAAAGGCATTGGAGCAGGAGTTGGGAGCTGCTTCCAAGAAACACAGTGAAACCTGTGATAATCTAGATACAGTGAATCCAAAAGATCGGCCAACATATGATGCTACAGCTACTACCGGCTCAAGTGGTTCTTCATCGATGTTGCACAGACATCGTTTTAATTTACATGCCGGGGCGCTAGGATCCATGGTAATGGGCGGTGGTGCTTCAAGTTCTGGTCGTTTAACCCGCTCAGCTATGCTTACCAAGAGTGAAAGTCGTGATTCCGTCTTCTCTGCCAAATCAGATGGAGTTGTCTACGATCAACTTATGAGATCTCATTCGGCATCCGATGCCAATCGTAAATTGCACCATGCATCATCGGTAAGACCTCCTCCATCGGCCAGCGCCGTATATGCTCTACCCCGGGATGTTGAACCCGCCGAGGAACAGCCAATTGATTACGCCCAGAAATATACCGAACACATAAGTAAACACGGAAACTCCAGAGAGGATCCTGAAAATAATGCAGCTACATACCAGGAAACTGACTTAGATCAGCCAACAGATTTTAGTCTACGCTATGCTGAAAACCAATTGGAATCAGATATAGATTTGTCACCGCCATCTGGACAAAATGATAATGTACCGCAAGATGTTAACCCAGCTAATGCCGCCAACGGCCCAGCCCGTTCTAAAAACCAAACAGAAGGCAGCGAAATACTGCTTATATTGGAGGACAGTGTCAAATGCTATCAAACCGAAGATACTCCATATGTTATATCAAATGCAGCTTCCGTAACAGATTTAAGATCTGTTCAAACTTCTGATAAAAATGAGGAAAATGATTTACCCACAGGCCTGGAGAATCCGGAAACTCCAGCTTCAAATGCAGGGGTGGGAGGTGTTGGTCATATGCCAACACGTAAATTTAGTAGAGGTCCTCACCAGCAACCGACTCACAACTCAAATCCATACGGATCAGGATCGTATACACCCGAAAAGCCAGTAAATTATTGTGAAGAAGGTACACCCGGATACTTCAGTCGTTATGAGTCGTTGAGCAGTTTAGATGAATCACCACCCCAGCCAGAGCACAATACAACAACCAAAGAAAGACATGAAGGATCGAGTGTTAAGAATACAGCTAGAGAAGAAGACACTGCTGTATGCGTTTTGAAACCCATAAGCAATGATGCTGATAAATCAGATTCTCCACCAGAGCCACCATCGTCATCGACACTGGCTGGCGCAGCACAACCACAAATTAATTCCGCCTTAGAAACGCCACTTATGTTTTCACGGCGTTCTTCAATGGATTCCCTGGCCGAGGAAGATGTTGGGCCCTTGGACGACAAAAGTTCAGTGGTTAGTGATTTCAGTCGTTTGGCTAGCGGTGTTATATCTCCATCGGAAATTCCCGATTCACCAACACAAAGTATGCCACAGTCACCTCGACGGAACTCAAATACCAGTAATAGTCAAGGGCAAGTCTGTTTCTCTGGCGGTGCTTCCCCCAATGTACAAAGAACTTCGCATAACCGCCCCGGCGATAATACCAGTAAACGTTGCCTGCGCAGTGTTTTTGAAGATGACATCAGCACATTTCATGTCGAAAATACACCTGCTCAATTCTCAACTGCCACGAGTTTGAGTAACCTCTCCATGATGGACGAAGAAGCATCATCCACCAACCTATCTCCACCCCAACCGCAACCAACAGCTGCCACAACAACCAATACCATATCAGAGGGTGAAGAGGAAGAGGATGGCAATACAAACAACAATGATGATTTATTATTGGCATCCTGCATCAACATGGGTATGAATAGAGCTGCAGCACCCTCAATGTATTCCCAACATAACGACAACAGCTCCTCGATAAATAATCCAGTTAGTGGTGGTATGATGGCTCAAGATGAACCTAAGCAATATTACACCGAGGATACACCAGCATTGTTGTCCAAAGTCGGCAGCAATACAAATCTTTCGGCCATATCACTCGGTTCCAGTAATAATGATGCCAAAGACGATACCGTCTACGAGACAATAGGTAATTCCGTTGCTAGAAATCATCACCAATCGATCAATAGACGTTCTTTGAATTTATCCGATGACATGTCATCGAATGCCTCGGAAAGTGGTGCTGCTGGCATTGATATCCTCCAGCAATGCATTCGTGAAGGTATGCAAAAGTCTGCTTCAGCCAAAGAAAAACCTAAAATATCTGAGACACCAGCAGCCAGTCACCGATCATTGCCGCCCAGTGTCAATAATATCGATCCCATTGCCATGTTGAGACGTGGTGGTAATGTTTTGCCCCCCTATCTGACAGGCAACGATGAAATGAGCAAATACCGTGTTGAAGACAGTCCATGCAATTTTTCGGTAATGTCTGGTCTTTCCAATCTTACGGTTGGATCTAGTCTTGTCGGCCCGGCCTTACTTATACATGGCGGAAACTCGGGTGCAACGTAAGTGGGGACATTTTACTTTTATTAGATTTAAACATTAATGTCTTCTTTTCCGTCACAGTTCCTCTGGCAATAACAACAACAGTGATAACTCCATGGCGCCCTTAAATGTAAGGACTTCCCAAAACTCCACGAAGCCACTATTAAGTGCCGTTGTAGAGGATGCTCGCAGAGAACCACAGTGGCAAGACGATTCGTTGAGTTCACTCTCAATCGAATCTGAAGATGATACCAACTTATTAAGTCAGGTAAGATTTTGTGGAATTTCAAATGTCTAAAAATTCTAATATATCCCATGTGAATTATTTCCTTGACAGGCTATTGCCGCTGGCTGCAATAGACCCAAATCGAATTTGGGTTTTACAACCAATTTGACTTCTACGGGCAACCACAAGACCACCCCATCGTTATCGTCATCACAACCGATACCAATTAATGCCGCAACCTCAGCATCCTCTCTAACATCTCAAACAACGGCCCGTCAATTTGATAAGCCACAACCGCAGCCAAACGGTGCAAAACAACCAAACTATGGCCCCATTCTGGCCGGCAATGAATCATATAGTTCCGTAGACTCCAGTGATTCCAATGATAACCAATCGAAGTCCCTATTCGAGCTATGCATACTCACGGGAATGCATAAGAATCGAGATAACAACTTGGGTGGCGGCAGCAGTTCATCGTCGCGAAAACATACACGCAGTTCCCATTCACACCGGACTCATAAAAATGGTCATAACGATCAGAATACCACCCAATCGAATCCCAATTTGAAACAGTTCGATTCATTGCCAATGCAAGGAAAGCAACTTACACCGAATCGTCATGTGAGGGAACGCGATCGAAGGGATGAGAAACTCTTAATGGAATGCATCAATACGGGTATTATGAAGAAGATTGGTGAATCCTGCAAACAACAAAATCCTCCCTCGTTACTGACCCGTGAAGCCTTGGTTTTGCATAACAACCAGCCAAAAAACGGGCAGGCTACGTCTGCAGCTGCTCAAATGGAGGAACTAATTCGCCCACAAAGTGCCAAATCCATGGACAACTCCAGTTTGTCCACAGCTACCAGCATCAACACCACCACCACCATCACAGCAGCTCCAGACGTAGAGAAGAACGACAACATTTCGAACAATCTGCAGCAAACGATCACCAGCAACATCATCAGTCACGACGAAGACATAAACGATCAAAGAAATCCCTTCAACTCGGAAGCGGCGCAGCACAGGAATCCAGCAGTTCCACCAGACGAAAATCTTCCAAGTCTCGCGAGCGATCCAGAGATAACGAACGGTATTGGGTGTAAATCTGATGAACCGGAAGATACTCAAATGGTCAAAGTGATGAGTCTAATCAGTCATTTATAATGGAGACCACAGTGTCACTAGAATCACGAACAAATGATAATAGTCCAGAAAAACCTCTGGAAAATGAAAAGCACAAAGATCCGGACTTGATGTTGAAATCGGTGGAGAGGTTAACTCTAGAGTTTGTCTCCTCGGCCGAACAATTACGTACTAATAGCACTGGTCCAGCTATTATACATCATAACTTTATCAATGTCACTGTGGCCAATGACAGTGCTGGCGATTGTACAACAACAACAGCTTCGATTTCCAATGACACTTGGGATGAAGACACTTGCCCCAATGATGTAAGTTTTCCCAGTGTTAGCATATCGGCACCCAAGGTTATCTCAATCACCTATGACGAAGATGATGAAGATCAAGCCACCACAGCCGATTATAAGGAGCTAAACGATTTTGCCGAGAACACACCGAATATTGATGAATTACCACCTCCCGATTTATCTTTAGATTTCGACAATATTGGTGTAAATCAGGCCAATGGAAATGGTTACAATTATGATTCTCAGCCATCATCCATGGACTGTTATACTGACAAGACGTTGGTCAATGAAAACGTCTCGTCTACTAAAACAGACAATGGAGATGACGGTAAGAAAGACCGGAAAGATAACCCGGAATCCGAAATGGAAAACTCTTCGTGTGGCCTCAATTTTAAATTGGGTGGCATAGTGCAGACAGCTGCCGCTGCTCCATCTTTGTGCTTCAATGTCAATGCAATGACAAATTCGACTTTCATAGCCCAAGAAGCCAGAAAGCTTGCTAACAACTTGCAAGCGCCCGATACTGATGGAGAAGAGGAATTAACCTTTAGCATTAACAGTCTTGATCTGGATAATATTAGGCCGCCATCCGGAATGGATTCACTAAATATTTCTGGCTATTATCAGGATTCCCATACACAGCCAAATTCATTGCAAAACTCTCCGCAAATGTATTTCAAATCGCCTAAATTTCCACGAAAAACATTGCCTGCTGGTTTGGTAGCGCGAAGAGCATTGGGGCAAATGCCTCCTCATCTAAGCGGAAGTGCCGAGTCGGTGAATTCTTCTTGTAATTTACTGCTGGATAACATAAAGCCGCCAAGTTTGATGGATGAGCTTTTGGATTCAATGATAAGCGTTTCGAGTATACAATCTGAAATAGCTGATGACTGTGCGAGCATGGCCACAACAGTCACTGTATCGAATTATGAAACTGCTAATGGCGGTGTAACGTTGGGCTGTGAGGATGGTGATACCATTACTTTACGTAGCTACAGCGAAGATCAATTGCCCCGTGATGATGAACAGCATACCTATAATGATGGAACTATAACACCATTACCATCAGATTATGACTTCAGTTCAGCAGAAAGTACACCAAAAAAATCGTACTCGGCCTCTCCAAGTATGGGACTAAGAAATCTGACACCCAAACAAAAGCGACAAGTGGTAAAGGATCGCTATCGTACCTACACCATTGACGGAGAAATGAGTGAAGAGTTGAGAAGAAAAATCGAAGAATCACAAAAAGACGAGACCCTACAAATTGAAATAACAAGCTATGATGAGAGAAATGCGACAACCTCAGTGGAGAATGGAAAGTACGATGATGACGATGGACAGAAACAAGATAGTGATTTGCAAAATACACCACGTAGCCGAAGAAGATCCAGCCAAGAACGTTATAGAACTCAAACGATATCGTATTCCGATTTACAGGCTCATATAACTCAAGGAACCAATTATACGGACATAACCTCAAATTATACATTCACCAGTGATAATGTTGCAACATCAGACAATGAAACGAATACACGATTAGATCAAGATTTAACCAGTTTGGAATACGATCAAAATTCTGAAACCGAATCATGTCATAATTTTGAAACAAAACCACATGTATTGACCGATTGTGAGGAGGAACAAGAATTGGAAGATGCTGAAATGGAAATTGTCGAAAAACAAAGTGTGGTTAGGCCTAGAATTGTAATACCCGGTGAAAGTACGGCTATTAATGATGAGAGTACAGAAAACGGCGACGAAGAACATGCGTCTCCCGTCAAAACAATTAGAGGGGGTAAAAAACCACAATATGTCTCTCCCTATAGTATGAAATTCCAAAAAACCATTGACACATCTAAGACAACAAAAGCACAAGGGCCTACCACAGGCACAGCTACAAAACCTAATGGACAATTAAGAAAGCCTAATGGAGCCTCAGTGGCCTCAACAAATACAAAATTGGCCCAGAAGAAACCTCTCAAGGATGCTGCAAAAGATAAGGCCCAGGATGTAGCTGCACCTGTTCCACCTTTGGAACGTCAAGGCACATTTGTAAAAGATGAACCATCTGTGGATGCATCAACGGTGCCGGTAGTTGAAACTAGTCCAAAGAAATCGAAACTATCAAAGCTGCCAATGAAACGCCAATTGTCTTCCTCCAGCAACACATCGCCACAGAAGACAGCCAACACACGCAAGCTGCCAACATCAGCCAATTCTTCTTCTTCATCATTATCAGCCACAAACAAACGCAACTTTGGCGGTTCCATTACAAAACCTCAACGGGCAAATAGTAATGTCAACATAAGGGTAACTACCAATGCTGCCCGCATAGCGGTATTATCAACAAGGGTTTCAACCACCACACCTCCATCGCGTAGCAATTCAACATTGAACTCAGCCAATGCTGCAGTTACAGCAGCTCAAAATGCTGCTGCAAAAATCAATCAAGCTCAATCACGCATTGCTGGCATTTGGCGTAGAGTGGATGAGGCAAAGAACAGACAACAAACAACGACAAAAATCAACAACAACAACACAAAAGGATCTCAGTTAAGTGGAAAGACAACAACTACGGCACAAGCCGCCTCATCGCCCCGGCCTGGTACGCTTGTACGTAGCACAACGTTTGATAACTCACCACCATTGACTACGGTAGTAGCGGCGAAACCCAAAGCTGGTGTGGGTAATGTTGCTGCTACTGGTCCCGGTAAATCAAATGGTGGATCAGTGGCATCAACGAAAATTGCCATGGCACAAAGACAAATTTTGGGCATACGAAAATAATTTTTAACAAAGAAAGGTCACGAGGTGAGGGATTAACTTTGATTTGAAATCGTTAATGGCTATTTTTTTTAATGTGGAGTAGCATTAAATCAGTTTGTTTTAATCTCGTTAAGCATTTTTAACAATATTAATTGTGTTTTCTGAAATATTTATACGCAGGTTATTACAACCTTGTGATTCATATAAAAAAGTATTACTTGAATCCAAAGAATTTCACATAAATTGGAAGAAGCAAGGAAGAGCAATAAATAAAGTTAATGAATTTCTGGAAAAAAATAACAATACGAATCATTTATCATTTGTGTAAAACAAAAGTAATTATTAAACTATAAACGTCTCTACATCCAAGCAACTAGCTGTCATAAAGATGTGGTTCAATGTATTTTGAAAATTTTTTTCACAGTCATATTGAAAGTATTTTAAAATTAAATTAAAATGCTGCTTAACATTTCCAACTGACTCTTGTATGCGACACAATTTTACAATTGTTTATAGTAAACACAAAAACTTTAGACCACCAACATTTCACCTACAGCTCCTCCACATAACAATAATCGTAAAATAAACCTGAAATTAAAACAAATTAAATCATTAAATGGTTACTAATTCAGTGTGGTAGTGAACATAAAACTTCTTATATACAAACTTATATCTATCTACAAACATACATATTATGCAACGCACATTTTATTAAGAGGTAACAATTACTCAAAGATGAAAAGACTTGGATTTTTGCATAGGAAATACTGAAGACAAAAATATATTAAAAAAAACACAAGATAATGGCGGTAGGGTAGGATCTAACATGAAATTACAAACTTTTTAAACAATAAATATAAAATCAAAATATGTATATCTACTGGTCCCTCAGTCCACCCATTAAGGCCTTCAAAATAAAACACAAAATGAATCAAATTTGATTGGTGAACTCCTAATACAAAAAAAAACATGAAATGGAATCCTAACATAAACAAATTTAGAAGTATTATATTAATATATTTAAAAAAAAAACAAGATGTAATTTGTAGAATATATATACGTAGAAACTGTGGATGATGGCCTCTATACTAGATCTTTGATGAGGCCCAAAAAATTATCCACATAAACAAAACAAAAAAGAAAACATTTATGTATAACTTGAAACAATAAAGTCACATAGGAAGATATTTTTTCTTTGAAACTTCAGCCAAATGTATTTAAAATTTTTAATTATTAACGTTATTATTATATTGATTACATAAAACAACAACAAAAACTACTTAAATAAAGAATATGAAAACGAAAGATTTATTATATCACATCCATCAATCACACACACAACATATGTAGGCAACATTATTAGTTTAAACATTAGTTTTTAAGAAACCCAATTTTCTATTCATAATCATTTTGATTTGTAAGTCTCACCAAAAGATTTTAAAAGTCTGTTTACTGTTATTAATTTTTCTATACCAAAAAAATCTACTTGTTTTTTATTTTATTTATGATTTAATTGCTGTTTTACGCGCTCATCTATATACACTTAAATTGAAATGGTTTTTTAATAATATTTTTTCTTTGGCTATTTATAAAATTGTTTGGCATTAAAAATAAAGTATTTTATTAATTACACACATATATCTATATATATTAAAATAGACTATAAAGAAGAGAAAATATTACAAAATAAATGAAAATGATTTGCTTATTATGAAATCTATTTGAAAAATATTGTTTTAATACAACATCTTTGCGGAATACGTATTAAATGAAAGTGTGCGGTAAGTAAAAAATGTGATAATGCCAAGTGATCAGCAAATATTGCAAAGCTCTTAGTTTTCTTTTGAAAAACATTACTCTCTGTAAGAAATCAATAAAAAAATATATAACATTAAAAGTTTGCGGCAAATCGTCTAATATATATATATATACATGGTGAGATAAAAAACTGCAACAAAGTCAAACGCCACAGTTTGTTCATTTTTTTTTTTTCGAATTGGTCACCCTTGGCACGATTTATGGCCTTCAAACGGCCAAGAAAATCGTCACACGCTGCCCGAATGTTGCTTTGCGGTATTTTGGCCCGAAGCGCTTGCTTGAGGTGATCGACACTTTGGTATTTTTTAGTGCCTCCCTTGCTTTCCAAAATACTCCAGACACAATAGTATAACGGATTGGTATCAGGAGATTTTGGTCATTGTGGCCATTGTGCGCTGGAAATGAAGTGAGGAACCTCATTTTGTAACCATTCTTGGGTGACGCGTGCTTAGTGCGATGGTGCTGAGTCCTGTTGGAATGTCCAAGGTCTGCTGCAAAAATGTTTGCGTGCCTAAGACTTTAATACACCCTCCAGAATATTTTCGTGATAATAGTCGGCATTTATTCTGATGCCACGGTCGATTAATACGAGCGGAGAGCGACCATCGGCTGTTATGGTGGCCCGCAGCATCACCATGGCCGGCGCTGGAGTTCTTGTGGCCAAACCAAGGTGCACGTTTTCACCTGGCCTCTTTGGCAAGTAAAAACGATCATTTTGTTTGTTTACAAACTGCTTGACAACGAATGTTTTCTCATTGGAGAAAACCAAATTCGGTAGTTCACCACTTTCGGCCAAGCGAAGGAAATCTTTAGCTCTTTTTCTTTCTGTTGCGGTGTAAGTTCTTGCACTTTTAGGAATTTCAATGGCTTTACCCCGAGCTCATTTTTCAATATTTCCCAAATGGAATATTGCGATATGTTCAGCTCACGAGCCATTTTTCGGCCACAGCTGTTGCTGTTTTCATCCGTCCACTTCCTTGACGTCGGGCTACGCTACCAGGCTACCAGTATCACGGTTACGAGCGATGGTACGAGACACAAAAGATTTATTCACATTTAAATGCTGGAGTGCTCTAACTATCGTTTGTGGTTACTTGTGGTTTTCCGGCCAAATATAAAGAAATCACACTATCACGCTTGAATTCTATTACGAATAACGTTTTTTTTTCTGAAAAATTCTCACCAAAATGCTTTTGTGCGCTTGTGAACAATATAATGAACTGTCACTGGAATAATTTTAACAGCTGTCGGACGAGTCGCTTAGAAATGACAGCAGTCTTTTTTTTTTCAGTTTTTTCATCTCACCCTGTATTATGAGTCATATGTAAAAATTTGACATGCACACGGAATTACACATAGATAATAAAAGTGACGGCGCATATGTAAAACCCATTCTGTCTGATAATGATTTAAAATATAGCTTAAGATTTGACTAACGTACCCTACTTTTATCATACTTCATTCTAACTGCTGTTATTAAAACGTGATAAACACATTATATCTTCAAAAATTAATCTTGAAAATTTCTTTAGTTTTAAAGAACAATAGATGCCAACAAAATGTTTATATATGTCGGTAAAAAAAAAACACATTTTTTAATGTAAAGTAAAAAAATAGATTTTGTAGTCATCCCCTATATTATACACCTGTGTTTCCTTTATTCTAAATTCAATGGATTTTAACTGTCAATTCCATTGCATTTGGAGAGTCGACTTCATTTGACGTATACGCAATGGAATTGACAATTGATTTATTAAATGTAAACGTATTATTTGAAAGAAGTTCCTGCAGGAAATATAAAAAGACAATGCAATTTTTTTTTTATTAAACAGTACATTTTTATTTTAAACTCTTAGTAGCAGGCATGTCTTTTATATACAAATACAGAATGGAAAATAAAAGATAAGAAACTCTTAAAGTATAAATTCCAAATTTTGCAATATGTAACTGAACGCAGCCATCGTTGCCCCTCATATGACGGCGACGAATGACATACGTTGCTATTGAAGGGCGCCACTTTCTTATATGCTAATAGTATTGCCATTTCTAACATTTTTCATCAAACATTTAAGACGTCAAAATGTTAACTTGATAAAATTTTCGAAAGACGGTATATTCGCTGCAGTTTTTGTTTCCAATAATTTTTGAGAAAAATATAAAGTACACCATTAATATTGTACCAAAGAACAGTTGCAATAACTTTAATTAAGACAATAACTTAGTTTCATGTATCAAATTTAATAACATTTGGCAAACAACCCTTACAGTACAACGGCAACTCTGTTTCATTTCAACAAGCCGACTCCATCATCAACATTCTCGAATATTTTCTCCAATGCAAACATTGATTTTGTGCGGCTAATTGTTATTTTGTGATAAGAGCAAAAGAATAGCAACAACACGCTTTTTTAATTAGTTACCAAATTGAATTGACTTCAAAATGTCTTTTGTGGAATGCATAAAAGCGACGCTTATATTTATTATCGGTGTGCTGGTGTGTGAGTGTGCAGTTAGCACCAATGAATACATGAAGAGGGAACACTCATTAGTTAGACCATTCCAAGGTAAGTTCCTCCCCAGATGCTATGTTTGAAATTTAAAAGTGAATTTGTCAATGCTACATGTTGTTTCAGGTGTTGGAGTTAATCTAGCCAATTGGGACTTCCTCGGACACACTGTGGTGACAAGCAACTACATACGGCTCACACCCGATTTACAATCAAAAAGTGGTGCGCTATGGAACTATTCGGTAAATATTATGACTCAGATGTGCAAAGTACAAATAATTTACAATGTATTTGGTTGTTTTTAGCCATGTTTGACCAAAAATTGGGAAGTTCATGTAACCTTTAAGGTACATGGCAAGGGCACAGAACTTTTTGGTGATGGTTTTGCTATTTGGTATACTAAGGAACGTATGCAACCGGGTCCAGTTTTTGGCAGTAAAGATCACTTTTCTGGTCTAGCTGTTATATTGGATACCTACAGCAATCACAATGGTCCTCACAATGTAAGTATTGAAGAAAAACTGGCTTAACTCTAGTTTAGTAAAAACTCTTCAATTTTTTCGAAAATTTTTGCAGTAGTAGGTATTTTAACCATGATCCCGGGAAACTATTTTTTTCTTGGGGGACGGACCTGGGAACCCAGATTTTTGACCCGAAAGTCCGGGTTCAAGACCCAGACTAGACCCGGATCCACTTCCCGATATAGAAGTTCGGAAGTTATAGTCAAATTATCGATTTTTTGGACCCGGATTTTTTATGAAACCCCCAAAAAGTCAAAAAAGGGCCCAATATGGGGGTCAACAAAATTGTTTCCAAATTATAGCTGACACTCTTACCTTTCCAAAATGCTACAATTTGTGCTAATACCTTTTTCGGGTCCAGAGATATGGGTCTTTCCATCCGCATAACCAGTTCATTAAATCTATGTTTTCAATAAAAAAGGTATATTTTGCGTAAGCATGAAATTCAGAAATCTTTGGTTCGCGTTAGCCGGTGTAGGACATACCCAGAGGAGAAAATCTCAAGCCCCGGCCGAAGGCCGGCTACTTACAAAAGGTATCCAATTTAGAAAACTTTGGTTCGCGTTAGCCGGTGTGGGACATACCCAGAGGAGAAAATCTCAAGCCCCGGCCGAAGGCCGGCTATTTACAAAAAGTGTCAAATTTAGAAAACTTTGGTTCGCGTTAGCCGGTGTAGGACATACCCAGGGGAGAAAATCTCAAGCCCCGGCCGAAGACCGGCTACTTACAAAAGGTATCCAATTTACAAAACTTTGGTTCGCGTTAGCCGGTGTAGGACATACCCAGAGGAGAAAATCTCAAGCCCCGGCCGAAGGCCGGCTACTTACAAAAAGTGCCGAAATTATGAACCTTTTGTTCGCGTTAGCCGGTGTCGGACATACCCATAGGTGAAAATCTCAAGCCCGGGCCGAAGGCCGGCTATTTACAAAAAGTGCCAAATTTAGAAAACTTTTGTTATTCCGACGACTGTTACGCGAAATAAACACTTTTTTATTGAAAACATCATTTTAATGAACTGGTTAGAATCGCGTTATGCGGATGGAAAGACCCATATCTCTGGACCCGAAAAAGGTATTAGCACAAATTGTAGCATTTTGGAAAGGTAAGAGTGTCAGCTATAATTTGGAAACAATTTTGTTGACTCCCATATTGGGCCCTTTTTTGACTTTTTGGGGGTTTCATAAAAAATCCGGGTCCAAAAAATCGATAATTTGACTATAACTTCCGAACCATGACAACTTACCCCTTCATGTGACCACTTGTTGGATAGGTATTTCCATAAGCTTTCAATCGATACTCATATTGTCTATATCGGGTAAGTGGATCCGGGTCCAGGCGGGGTCTTGATCCCGGACTTTCGGGTCAAAAATCTGGGGTCCCGGGTCCCCAAAGAAAAAAATAGTTTCCCGGGTTCAGGGTAAAAATACCTACCTCTGGAAAAAATTTCATAAAAAATCTAAGAGTTTTTACTAAACTAGAGTTGTTCCGAAAAACTAACACGTTAGATTTGAGGGGTTTTGGGCCGAAATTGTTTCCATTATTTTAAAAAGAACACAGATATACATTTGTAAACGGTTCGTGAGAGATGTGTCTCTGACTCCCAAGTATATTAAAATTCCGTTTTCATTTCGTTAAAAGTCCTCATTGCCATATTATTGGCTTTTCCCGGATAAGTTGAAGTTCCCATTCCCACAATATATATTTGAATTAAAGTTTGGGTATTTTCTTACACTTACACTATTGAAAAATGAATGTATTTTAAACGCCTAGTTTAGATATCAGCTCTTGAGTAGTTTAATACTCGATAATACTAATCAACTATTATAAATAACAACTGTTGAATTTTAACATTTTCGGGAAATAATTTTATCTACCAATAATACTAATGAATCATATTTTTTAAACTAGCATCAACATCCCTACTTGAGCGCAATGGTAAACAATGGCACATGGAGTTACGATCATGACCGTGACGGTACTCATACACAATTAGCCGGTTGCGAAGTGCGTTTCCGTAATGTTAATTTTGATACACATGTGGCGATCCGTTACGAAAACGATATTTTATCGGTATCGACAGATCTTGAAAATCGCAACGAATGGAAAAATTGCTTTGTTGTTAACAATGTTGAATTACCAACAGGTTACTTCTTTGGTCTTTCAGCAACAACAGGCGATTTGTCAGACAATCATGATATTTTGAGTTTTAAATTCTACGACTTGGACACAGATGTTACGGTAAGTTGAATTTCGCTCATTGAGATGTTACATTTGTAATAATGCTTAAATCTTTTTTTTTTCTAACAGCCCGATCAAATTATAGCCCGCGCCAACATAATTCCCAATGCCAAAACATTCGAGCCACCACGTGAGCATAAAGATGACCCCAAACCCAGCATGTCAAATACCAAGATCTTCTTCATTTTACTCTTCGGAATGTTGGCAGCTGTAGCTGTGGCTATTTTTGCCATTTCCTATTTCAAAGAGAAAAATGCCCGTAAACGCTTTTATTAGTTAATAGCATTTTTTCTTTAGATATTGAAGTCTTCGGCCGATCGACCTCCACCAAACACGACATCTTTTTGAGAGAAAAAGACATGAATATATTTTAAATAGCAACAAATTAAGGTTTTATAGTTTTTAATATCAGTCATTTTCTAACTAAAATATTTTTTCGATGTATTTTTATATACCTACCGTGGTTATAGTTGATTTCATTTAATTATTTATTCGAGCAATTAGTATTTTCAAATATTTAAATTAGGTATAATTTCGCGTATATATACCCTACTCTGGCCCTCTCTATATTCATTTCTCAGTAGGTATTTGTGTTGAAAAATTATTGATTTGCAATTTTTCCAGTGTGATATTACATCACAAAAATTTGTATAGCAAAATGTTAAGAGTGTCAAATTAATGAAAAAATGGAAATATTTAACAAAATATGCAAGCAAGCTATGCGGATTGGTAATGTGTGTAGATAAATTACAACAAATATTGTGGGGATATTGTAAATAAATAGTTTAATTATAAAAAACGTGTTGATGTCTTTTTATTTTAGTAGTATAATGTATTGTCGCTACATCCCACTGTGTGTTGAATATTTGGGGTATCTACGAATAGATTTTTCCAGAATTTATCCAATATTTTCCAAAAACAAACTCCTGATTTACATTAAACAACTATAATTTCCGCAAGTGTAATTTTTTGGATGTAGATATGGGCATGGCACAATTACAGGTGGTAGAACAAAGCAACCGCCATGGTACAGTGAAATAAAGGTAACCACATTTCATATTAGCATCTGTCAAGATGAAGAAGAAATCGAGACAATCGAACACTTACTCTGCCACTGCCCAGCATAGGCTAGTGGGAGAACTAGTGTCACACGACTTGTCGTCTTTTTCTAACACTGACCCAGTAGTAATACTTCAACTAGCCAGAAGACTCAAGTGGCTAAAGACGACACGGCAAACTCCTCAGCCGTAGATTACACTCTACTACACTATCCCTTATCTTCATCTTCTCTATCAATCACTTTTTCTTCTATCTCTCAAAACTCTTTTCTAGGATGAACACAATGGACCTATAGGTCTCCGAGTGGAGCGGTTGCCATATGGCAATCGCGCGTCCTTTAACCTAACCTTTCATATTAGCATTCCCTGCTCTGCATTTTCTATAAAAAAAATGACAGTTCCCATCTCTGATTTTGTTTGTATACAATGGATTTATGATTATAGATTTTGACAATGAGATTTAAAAAAATTGTAAACATATGATTACATGACTAACTTTTTACCATGCTACCCCCTAAATACAATTTTTTTTCTTTTGGTGTCCTTATACTCTCAAAAAATACACATTTTGTTTATGTTTGTCTATTGTTTTCAATAAAAAATAAAATAATTTGAAATTTTTTCAAATTCGGTTGCAAAACGAATGCCTATTTTCGACGTTAGTGGGCATCACATTGTAAAATTTTTTAATGAAACTATATTGTCCTACTATTTTAGATTAAATCTTATGGAATAAACCCAAAATTCCATTTTTGTTTCGCGGGTTTCTTCAATATAAGAATTTTGAAAAAATGAAAAATATACAAAACCAACTGTTTCATATTTTAAAGTCTATGGATATGAGGAAAATGGACACATTTCTCAACAGCCTTTCGTCCTTTCAATTAAAGAAGTGACATAAAAATCTTCATAACCAAGCACATTCCCTTTAAAGCTTAAAATCTACAACAAGGCCTATATAAGGTCGGTCACTAAGCGCATCTAACTACCAAGTTTGCTGTCGAAAACAAAATTAATTTAAATTTGAAATTTAAAAAGTCATATAGAGGAAAAAGTAACTTCTTGGCCCACCTTATATAGGCCTTGATCTCCTACTTACTATCGGCAAAATTTGTAATATCTAAGATTCTATCAAATGGTCTATCCAGAACGGCAAGAATGTAATAGTTTTTACTACGATAAACGATTTTCCCTTTATGATATAAAAAAAATCTAAAACTAGTAGTTTATTGCAGGTACTGGAACGCAAAAGTTATTCGTTTATTTAATATCATGGTAGAAGAATATAGGTAGATGCATCAACACTCGCGAACATTAATATATTTTTTAAAAATATCTCCAAAAATAAATGGACTTTAAAAGTTTTTTCTTATACGACGCCAACCGGATGTTGTTACGACATATCTTTATCAAAAATTTTTAAATATTTCGATATTTTTCATTCAAAAATTTGAAACTGGTTTGACAGCTCATTATACCAGCAGCTGTGTTGATGTGCCTACTTTGAAAACTTTTAATTAAAATAATGTTCAATTACTTACCTTTTCGCCACTTATCTCACTCACAATTTTTATTTACGCTATACGTCAGTTTTACTGATTTTCCTTTCCAAAGAAAGTGAACGTATGAAATATAGATAAAAATGAACTAAATAACACAAAAATATGTGCATCTATTTCCTACAGTTCCTTTCAGTGAACATCTACATTAAACTTGTTCGATTAGAAACAAATAGGGCCCTACAAACCAAAACAACACAACCTCCAGAAGGGCCGGATCCACTCCATATTTAGCTTAATGCAGTTTCCCTACATCGAATTATCTAAAATAATTAAAAAATGACTGCCGATGAACGAAATTTCCGGTCCAGTTATTATGAAAAAGTTGGCTGCCACAGTGTCGAAGAAAAGAAATCACTTAACAAATTGTTACAGGATAATATACGAAATCATGTCAAACTGAAACAATTCTGTTTGAGCTACACTGTTCCCACCACACATCGCAGCCTCTTGTGGAACATTATTTTGGGCGTTATGCCATTGCATAAGAACTCCACCGAATTTATTATGAATCAACGCAAAGCTGTCTATGATGATCTACTCAGAGCTGTAAATATAATGCAATATGGCTCTACAACAAAACCGAAAGTATTGCTAAGTATGTGGCAATTGGAACAAAATCGTCTTTTGCACTCAGGACCTGAGGATATAGCTGATCAGGTGTTTATGGAAATAGTTAAAGTGTTGCTACAGATATTCAACGATGATGTTGAGACATATTGGTTGGCAAAAGAATTCTATGCCTGTACTCTAGATATACAACAAGAATGTCCTAGACTGAAAGAGTTGACTCAGACACTACTTAAAAAAGACGATATGCAGTTGTATAGGTAATTTAAATAATATTAAAAGCGAATAATTAAATAAAACAAGTTGTATTTTACAGTCACTTGGAAAATTTGGATGTTTTCAAATCAGACCAATTATTAGATAGATGGTATATGACTTGTTTTGCCGGTGTCATCAATGAATCTACCTTAGTACGTGTATGGGACAAAATATGTGGCGGATCAAAGAAAATCGTCGTATTTATATTCCTAGAGATGGCCAAGGCTCTAAGCGATAAGGCAATGAAATGCAAAACCAGTAACGAGTTTAAAAATCTGATAGAGCAGGTAGGTGTGAGAGGTGTTGATAAGTTCATCTCTATTCCGAATGAGTTGTTTCCTAACGGGGAAACATTTATCAAAATGGGATTGGGGTGGTGAGTTTGTAGTCATGGTCTATAAGAATTATATTCAAAGTAGCTCTTAGACTGAATTTTCAGATTAATCTTCCGACCATTTGGTATATGCCTTTTTGACTGGGTTTTGTCTTTTATTTTCAGGTCAAAGATCCGGATGCGCTAATTGTAAACAAAGCGATAAAAGCATGGCAAAATAGCAATCAACACAGTGAAAAAATAACTGTTCATTAAAATAAAAATAACTCGTTTTATATTCATTAATAAACTAGCTTTACCAACAGAAATGTTAACTTAAATATACTTGAAAACAACATCATTTTTGTCTTGTACTGTTTGAAGTTCCAATGTGACTGGACATTGCATCCAATAGGACAAAAGTTCCTCAGTATAGCCAATTAGGAAATACATTTTACGTGCACTAATAGCCTGCCTCATAATGGCAGCTATACGAATCATATTATGCTGGCGCTTAATAATAACTTCCGAGCACACCAACGAATGCCAAGTGCCATTAATAAACTTGCGGATAAATAGATCTTCAATGGCAGTCTGGGAGGGACGTAGGCCATCCAACATTGTGGCTAAAATTGGGGGAAATAATTTAATATGCCAGCGTTTATTAATTTATCCATTAGACATACATGTATTCCACGAATTCCACGATTTTCGATGTGCAATGTAATGTGGTGGATTGGCCATTTCGTAGGTGAGGGGTTTGTTACGTTTTGTGGTTATGCGGTATCGGCCCGATTGGGTTTTCTCGCACACAGATGTTGTGTGAATGAGAGCAGCAGCACATTTTGCATTTGCTATTGACTCCTTAAGTAGGGAGGATGATAACTGCAAATAAATTAAATAACTTCTATCAATTAATTCACAATTTCACTTCTTTTAAATGTTTTTTACAAACTTTTTGCAGGGCCGACATCGTTCCAAGACAAGAAACAAGAAATCACAGCTGTTAATGACATAACATTCAATGTTGTGTGTTCAGTCAAGCAATGCTCAGCGTTAAACCACAATCGTGAGAGCGAACGCTTTGTACTTGATTACTAACAAAAATAACATAATTTAAATTTTAATAATTCAAAAAGTTCTAAAAATAAGAAGATACTGTAGAATTGTGATTTAAAATGTTTCACCTCATTATATTTTTCATTGCTGTATTTATATTTTCCTTAACTACACAAATACCTTTGCATCTGAATCACCTTAGCAAAGCATAACGGTAATTTCGACGCCGTTGTTTATAAAAAGTATTTGACTATGTCATATGTCAATTCTTCTTCTTCCTTCGAAGTCACTCACCGCGCTAGAATGTGTAGTATATATCAAGAAGTAATAATATGTGTGAATAAAAATTAGAAACAAAAATAAGTGATGGGGAAAATCATTGTTTTTCCTTAAAATAATGGTACATAATGTTATATTGGAGTGAATAAATTGAAGATATTTACTGTGCTGATTAATATTTATATCAAATTTATGTGAAAACACACTCCTAACAGCAAAGAAAATCGATAAATTATCAATGAAAAGAAATAAAATCTCAAGTGTGTTGGGAACATTCATTGTCACACACGTTATTGTTGCTGTTGTATCTTGTTGCAGTGATCAGTGTAGTCTATTATGCGTATTTTATCACCGATGATAAGAGATTTTAATTTTGTGAAAAAAAAAACTTTTTCAAAAGCCAAAATCTTTAACTTGCTCTGTATTCTGTAAGGAATATTTATAAAGAAATAATTAATATGAAAGCTTTTTATTCCAAAAATGAACTACAGAATGCAACGGTAAAGCTGAAGTATTTATCTTATAAATACACGAATAAACTCATAATTCGCATTTGTTCCCAATATTAAAAAAGAGCTTCAAAATGAATGTAGAACGACACAATAATATTATGAATATTTTTTGTTTTTAAAATTTCATACATTGAGACTTATTTCGCTTTTTAAATATTTTAGTTTAATCAAGTTTTTGTTCTAACCGAAAATATTAAAACGAATTAATATCAATTTCCTGTAGTATGAAATCTCTATTTTAAAACATTAAAAAAGGAAATCTAAAACATTTTACTAATTTAATTTTTTTTCTGTTTCGGACCTTAACAGTGAAGTGTTTTTGTAAATATTTTTAACATAAAAATAATAATTATTAAATAATACAATTTTATTATATCTTCGTTATATTTTCTATAATATTTTTCTATATATTTTTCTCCGTTACAGGTCTTTAAAATAAATAATTACAATACTAAGCATTCCATTTTGTAACCTGCAAGCCTTATATTATTGCCAAATTTTGTTATTTTTTTCTACTATGGAACAAGAAATTGGTACTTGGGATTCTGTATTATTGGAAAATCTTTCTGAAGATAGTTTCATTAATAACATACATCAGCGTTACAAACGTGATCTCATTTATGTAAGTTGGATTTTTTTTGTATTTTAGAAATTTTCTTGGAAATAATGGTGATTATTTTACAAATTTACAGACTTACATAGGCACTTCCGTGGTGGCTGTTAATCCATATCATCACATATCAGAAAATTCGTTGGACCTAATACATAACTATGGTAGTAAGGGCATATTTCAATTGCCTCCACACATGTAAGAAAATTGAGTAATAAATTCAAATTTATATCAATGCTATTAATTCAAAAATTCTTAATTTTAGTTATGGCCTTGCAAATTTATCATTTCAATCTCTTAAGGATAGAAATGAGGATCAATGCATAATTATGACGGGTAAATGAATTTGAATACATATCTACTTTCGAAAATGAGGCATAGAGAACAATATTTATGTTGAAATAAAAAATTAATTAAAATCAATTAATTCTTAGACATGGGATTATATTCAGAAATAAAATCAAAATTGCACTCAGTGCTTCATGTAGCATTTTATTTATTTTTTTTCGTGAATTTTTATTAATAAACGTTTTTTATTTATATTTACAGGTGAAAGTGGATCCGGTAAAACCGAATCTTTCAAAATGATTGTCAATTTCCTAACACATATTCAAGAAAAATCTAAAAGATCATCATCTCTGAGCAAACAATCTTCTGCTGGATCCAGTGGTACGCCAGCCACAGCAGCAGGAGCCGCTGGCTGTTCATCTTCCCACAGACATCGACGCACATCCAGTTCTTGTTCAATGGGGCCGACATTAAGCTATTTACAAAATAAAAACCCAATTACTGCCGCCAATTCAAATACATGTTTGGCAATGCAACAACAACAACGCAGACAGTCACCTTCTCCAGGACCACCAACACCAAAATACTGTGATGCAGCTGCCCAGCATAGAACGCGTGCCGAAAGCTCCGAACGGCAAGGGAAACGTAGTATGAAAGAGAAAATGGTTGACTTTGATTTTTCACATCACAAAAGTACGGAAAATATATCTACCCTAGATAGTTCAATATACACCACGGCCATGTCATCACATTGTGGCCAACAGTTGTCAACAACCTTTGGCATTACCTTATCACCTCATCCACCAAAATCCTGTTTCAAACATCATCAGTCAACACAAATTCCCCATAAATCTGCCTCAACCTCGAAATCTTCTTCCACCATCTACTTGCCTCGAAGCACATCGCCGAAATATTTGACATCTTCCGTTGGTGTTGGTGGCGGTGGTTGTCGCCAATGTGGCCACAGTAAATGTACTAGAGCTCAAAGTTTTGATAGAGATGATGGAGATATAAGTATATCCTCACAGCCGGGTAATTATAGCTTATCAACAATGTCCTCGACACATTTACAACGTGGCAGTTGTTCAAATTTAACCAAGCAAAGTTTATCGGAATGCTGTAATCGCGATGAAAGCTCACATTTATCTGGTTCCATGCAACGCATTTCTTTATATGATGCTCATAAAATAAATCAATCGGCCATCAATGCGCTCAAATTGTGGCAATCATCTCCGGCAACGCCAAGAAGGCATAAAAACCCTTTGAAGAGATTAAGAGAATGTGTTTCATTCGCTGATGTTTTCCTAGAGGCCATGGGAAATGCTGTAACGCTGAAAAACAATAATTCCAGTCGTTATGTATGCATGTATAATTTGACTTTTAAATCGTTTTGATTTTGAAATTTTATTCTTTTTTAGGGGAAACTTTTTGATATAGAAATTGATTTTAAGGGCGATCCAATTGGTGTTCACATAACTCATTGTAAGTTGATGATCATATTTACTTAGTGTACAAGAGAGTTAATATTTTTAACCATCAAAATACAGGAATTAAAAAAAAATGCTGTAAGTTACCTTTAAGCATTAATGGAACTAAATCAAGTGACTTAGGACCTGTTTTTTATGACGATACAAAAGTGATTTCGAACGAAAAATATTAATCCAAATATGATTTTCAAATTTTTGATTTAATTAATAGCAAATCAAAAAATAAAATTGAAAAATTAATTTGAAATGCTTTTCATATTGTCATAGAGAAACAGACCCTTACTTTGAAATTCCTGCATTTGATAACTATTTATTTTAATGTTACAATATATCTGTATATATTTTAATATATTCATATTCTCTATATTTTCCCATGCCTCAGATATGCTGGAAAAGGTTTGACAACTATATGTGATGCTAAATATATGTGTCTTTTTCAAACAAATCATGCATATTTTTTAAATATTTATGCTTTCTAAAGTTACATCCTAAAGGATACATAAGCAGCTTGACATCAGCGAGGCATGTTAATGTCAAATTATAAGAAAAAAAAAACAACGGCAGTATTCTAGTGCATCTCTTGTGAAGACTTCAAGCTGCTTATGTGCCCACTGTTTAAATATTAACTTAAAAATATCTATCTATTTATACCTGCAAACATTTTCAAAATTAAACTACTCTAAAATTATTTAAATTTTGTGTTTACTTTTACAGACTCGTGTGACTGACGTTTCTTCCGGTGAAAGGAATTTCCATATATTTTATCAATTACTGTCTGGCGGGGATTTACAATTATTAAGTAACATGACATGTAATAAAAATAAACAAACATTTAATACCTATCCTTTTAGAATCCTTAAAATTGTACCGTAATGTCGAGAAGTATGACATTTTAAAAAACACAACTGCCTTGGAGGAAGATCGGACAAATTTTCACTACACAAAAGTAAGTTGTACCATCAAAGAATCCCCTTTTTTATACCCTCCACCTTGAAAAGGGGGGTACCTTAACTTTGTCATTCCGTATATAGTATGATCAGCAGGATCAACATAAAATTCTAAGTCGATTTAACGATGTCCGTCCGTTTGTCTGTTGAAATCACGATACAGCCCTCATTATTTAACGTAGAGCTTCAAAATTTGGCAGAACAAGTTTTATTGTACCTAGAATGATTGGTATGGATATATCAGTTCACGTTTTGGTATAGTCGTCATATAATGGTACCTCCCGGTATTCGTTATTTTGATGATTTTCGCCTGATTTTTTCACGGATTGGTCTAAAAATTAATATTTGTAACCCATAATGGATTCTAACTCCGATGGCGAAATATTGTATGTATAGGTCCACGATTTTGTATAGCCCCCATATAACAACACCTCCTGATATTCCATATTTTGATGACTTCTGCCAAAATTTTTTACGGATTTGTCTAAAAAATGTTATTTCTAGTTTGTAATGGGTTCTAGCTCAGGTAGCGGAACATACTATATATTGGTCCACGTTTTGGTATAACCTCCATATAACGGTACCTCCCGATATTCAGTGTTTTCAAGATTTTTGCCACATTTTTCCACGTATTTGTCTAAAAATTGGTATTTGTAGTTCATAATGGGTTCTGGCTCCAGTGGCCGAACATTGAATACTTAGGTCCACGTTTTCCTATAGCGCACATATAATGATTGATAATCCTAGTCACATATACCCACGAAACTGTTTCAAATTTGGTATTTAAGAAGACTTAGTAAATTACAATCCTTGAAGTATAAAATTTTCTATGGAGGTTCCCGTTTTGGTATGGCCCTCGTACAGCGGGCTCATCCACTTTATGGTTTCTTTGAAAAGTTTAATAGCATTATCCAAACGGTCTTACTGGTATTTGCAGTTTATGGTGGAACACGTTTGCATTCAGATACTTTTATATGAAAATGTTTTCTTTACCCAATGGTGGAGGGTATTAAAAGTTCGGCCCGACCGAACTTAACGTTTTTCTACTTGTTATTTTTTAGTACTACTTGTTTAATTTTCTTTTATAGAAATCCTTAGATGTCCTTGGTCTATCTTGTGATGAAATAAATTCAATTTTTCGTATAATAGCGGTGGTATTGAAATTAGGCAATTTTGTATTTGTACCAATAACAAATATTGATGGCACCGAGGGTTGTCAAATATCGAATATTTACGGTAGGAGATTTTTATGCTTAAAAACCAATATATCTACATTTAAAATTACTTTTCACAGAGGTTGAAGAAACTGCTCACCTACTCAATTTAGAAGCTCAAATTTTAATCAATTGCCTTACAAGAGCCTGCAGCTCAAACAGCAGTTTGGAAGATGTCGGTAAGCATGTCATAAATCAAAATAAAAATGGAAACAAATTTGAAATTTCTAATGCAATTGTTTACATTAGGTTGCGAGCTAGATGCCCGCCAGGCATCAATGATACGAAACACATTGTGCCGCACTCTATACTCAAGACTTTTCACATGGTTGGTGAATAAAATCAATGATAGTCTTAAATCAACGCAGCGCGAAAAGAATTTAGCTCTGCTGGACTTTTATGGTTTTGAATCTATGGAATACAACTCATTCGAACAATTCGCCATAAACTATAGCTCCGAGAAAATTCATCAAAATTTTGTTCACAACATCCTTAGAGTGGAACAAGAATTGTATGTACGCGAAGGTTTGGAATGGTCTAGAATTGATTACTTTGACAACGAGTCGATATGTGAGCTGATTGACAAGCCCAACTATGGCATATTGAGTTTAATCAACGAACCACATTTGACCACCAACGAAGCCCTATTGACACGTATACAACAGTGTTGTGCGGGTCATCCATGCTTTATGATAGCTCAACCCAACTCGATGACATTTCGCATTCGACACTATGCCAATGTTGTGCAGTATTCTGTGCATAGATTTTTAGAAAAGAATTCCGATATGCTGCCAAAGTACTTAAGTTCAGGTTTATATCAAAGTAAACTGCCACTCGTACAAAGTCTCTTTCCCGAGGGCAATCCTCGGAGACAAGCCAATAAAAAGCCCACCACTTTAAGTTCCAATATACGCACTCAATTAAATACTTTATTAGCCATAATTAAGCCGCGATGTTCACGTTATATATTTTGCATAAAACCAAATGAATGTCGTCAATCGAGAACTTTTGATATGTCCTTGGTGCAACATCAAGTTCGCTACATGTCTCTGATGCCGCTGGTACATCTCTGCCGGCAGGGTCATTGCTTTCACATGCTTCATGCGAAATTTTTTTTACGCTACAAACTTTTAAGTGCCAAAACATGGCCGCACTATCGTGGCGGCAAATGTGTCGAGGGTATAGCTCTCATAATACGTAATCTTCCATTGCCATCAGCTGAATTTACGATTGGCACAAAAAATGTGTTCGTACGTAGTCCACGTACCGTTTACGAATTGGAACAATTCCGCAAAGGACGTATGCACGATTTGGCTACTCTGATACAGACCACATTTCGTATGTATCGCGAAAGAAGTCGCTTTCTGAGACTGCGATCAAGTCAGATTGCAATTGCAAGGGCTTGGAGAGCGTGGAGGGTAAGTGCATTATAAAAGGAAAAAAATACAATAAAAAAATAATGTTTCTTCCCAGTTTACATCATACTTCCATACACGCGAACAATGCGGTACCGTGAAATACAAACAAAGAGGCAATTGGGCAGTTGAAGTTATAACCCGAGCTTATATTCAATACAAAACTCGCCAATATCTTATGACCATACCTCAAAAATTACCACCAAATTCATTAAGTCCTCTGTCAATGGATTGGCCGGCAGCTCCATCATTTCTTGAAGAAACATCGCGTCTGTTGCGGGCCATCTATCATCGTTGGAAATGCTATTTATATCGTAGTTCCTTTGACCAGACATCGAGAAATCGTATGCGTGAAAAAGTTACAGCCAGTATTATATTTAAGGATCGCAAAGCTTCGTATGCTCGAAGGTATATACAAATGTAAGCCATATTGTAGTGGAATAGTATTTAACATTTTCTGTTCTCCGTTGACAGTGTGGGACATCCTTTTATCGGAGATTATGTGAGATTAAGGCCAAATGCCATGTGGAAACGTATGTGTTCGGAAACAAATGATCAGTATGTTGTGTTTGCAGACATTATAAATAAAATAACAAGATCAAATGGTAAGGTAAGTAAGCGTATTGAAAATGAGGGCCTATTTCTCTGTGACGACACGAAAGTGAATGTCATAGAAATGCACAATTTCAAATAAATTTTTCATATTTTTATACTCTCCACCTTGGAAAGGGGGGTATATTAACTATGTCATTCCGTATAAAGTATGATCAGCATAAAATAATAAGTCGATTTAACGATGTCAGTCTGTCCGCAGGTTGAAATCACGATACAGGCCACATTATTTGACGTAGAGCGTCAACATTTATCAGAACAATTTGTGTTGTGTTTAGGATGGTTGGTATTGAAAATGAGATATATCGGGCCCATACAACGGTGCCTCCATATTCGGCATTTTGTTGATTTTTGTCACAATATTCCACGGATTTGTCTTAAAATTGTTATTTGTTGGTCATAAAGGGTTCTAGATCGGGTGGTGAAACATTGTATATATAGGTCCACGTTTTTGTATAGCCCCATATAACGGTACCTCCCGATATGCGATATTTTGATTATTTTTGCCACATTTTTTCACGGATTTGTCTAAAATCGATATTTGTAGGTCATAATGGGTTCTAGCTCGTGTGGCGTACCATTGTATGTATAGGTCCACGTTTTGGTATAGCCCATATATAACGATACCTCCCAATATTCGATATTTTGATTATTTTTGCCACATTTTTCCACGGATTTGTTTTTAAATTGGTATTTGTGGGACACAATGGGTTGTACCTCGTGTGGCGAAACATAGTATGTATAGGTCCACGTTTTGGTATAGCCCCCATATAACTGTACCTGGCTATATTCGATATTTTGATAAAAATTGGTATTTGTTACTGGTATATGAAATTTAAAGTGAAACACGCTTGAATTCAGATACTAATATATAAAAATGTTTCCTTTAACCTAAGCTGAAGGGTATTAAAAGTTCGGCCCGGCCGAACATATTGTTTTTTTACTTATTGAGTTTTGAGTTAAACTCAACATTTCTAAAACACATTTGGAATGGAGGTTTTCTTTCGTTTTCGTCATACATAAGCAGGACCTTAAGTCTTGTAAAGTTGTACTTAAAACGGCTTTGGTTTTTCATAACCGTCGGACAAAACGATTTTTGTTCAAAAAATTTGCATCCTTGATGTTTTTATATGTTGTTTTAAAATTTTCCTTAGATTGTGCCTATTTTGTTGGTCATATCCACTTCATCGTTATTACTACTGGATCAAAGAACTTTGCAAATAAAATATCGTGTGCCTGCTGCAGAAATTTATCGTATGTCACTAAGTCCATATCTAGATGACATTGCCGTATTTCATGTGAAAGCTGTAAGTTTTTGATTTTTCACATAAAACTCCCCAAAGTGTAACCAAATATGTCTATTTCTCTCATTTTGCTAGTCCGAATTTGGTCGCAAGAAAGGTGATATAGTTGTTCAAGCAGCACATATAATAGAAATAGTTACAAAAATGTTTTTAGTCATACAAAATGCCACAGGGAAACCACCTGAAATACACATTAGTACCGAGTAAGTATTAAAATTTACAAAAAACATGTATGCCTTATTTATTTTTATTTAAATTATTATCTTCTTCTACCTAGCTTTGAAGCTAATTTTGGCCAACAAACAGTTATATTTAATTTTAAATATGGCGGTATGTCGGATCTTGCACAAGGACCACCAAAGGTTACTAGGAAAGCTAATCGTATGGAAATTATTGTATGATCCGCAACTAAAAGCTATCGTTGGACATCATTGACATGTTTAAATGCCTATGAACTAGATGCAAGAGCCAATTAAAAATTGTCTCCTCAAATTCTTCCCGAATATTTTTCCATAAAACAAAACTCTAGAGTATCAGAATCTTAAAAAAAAAACAACACAACACAAAACCTGACAATCATACAAATTTAATTTCATCAATTATTTGATATAAATCTTTATATTGAAACATATTGCTTCAATTTTTGTCGCTAATTTAAGAATTCTAAAATATGGTGTATTGATATCGTGTGTGTGTAGCTGTCAGTAAATACTGAGATCAGTTTTAGTATAAATTGTGTGAAAATGTCGAAACAGTTGTAGAGTTTTGATGGTAATTCTGAAGGACTTTAAAAATTTGGATTTAAATTACAGTGTGGAATATTTTTTTTTAGTTAAATTTAAAATTTGCAGAAAACATTTGTTTTTCCTTCGCGTTTTCAATATTACTGGCAATTAATTGTATTAATTTCACAAAAGGATACTTCTACTCGATAATTATCATTTTAACATCAACATAATATGAAATCATTTATTCTTTTAAAATTGTTCTGCGACGCGTAATTTCTGTTCGGCCTTGCCTCCCTGCTACGCTTGTGCCTCCATTCTATAACTATTTTTACCACACTTTTCTTGTTCATTCAAATTGAATGAAGAAACCAATTCTTTTTTTGTCCGCTCTGCCATTGTTGATTTCAATTAAAATTACGTTTTATCAAATTATTTTGCATAGTATTCGAATACCTTTGATTAAAAGTGATTGAAGTGACATTTATCAGGAAGCCAAATGCATGATACGTGGGAATTGAAAAAATGTATTAATATGTTTAAAGAGATTTGCTTTTTATTGCTGTTTTTGCTTAACCATCCAAATACAGTTCTTTAATTTTCTTGTTTTGAATTAGTTTTCATATTATTATTATTATTTTTTTTTTCTTTGAATATGTTTTTTTGCCTTGATTTCTTTCTATTTTTCTTTTGTTGTATAATTATTTTAATATATAATCTCCTTTTGATCTCAATTTCGGTTTCAATTAAGTTCCCCAGCATAATATTTATTTTTATTTCCAATGATTTCAAATAACCTCGGTCCTATTGTTGGTAATTCGTCTTTTTTCAAAAACAGATTGAGTCAATATTCAAATTGTATGTCCATTGGTCATCTAAATTGTCATAGTTTGCGTCCGTCCATATATAATACCACCCTTTGTGAGCTTAAAAATCTTATTTGTGATAGTGGTTTTGGGTTGTTCGCTGTTTCCGAGACTTGGTTGAAACCTTACGTTTCGTCGAAAACTGTTGCGATTCCGGGCTACTCATTTGTCCGCAATGACCGACCTAGCGCTCGTGGAGGAGGTGTAGGTATTTATATTTTAAAAAATATTAAGTATAAGGTGGTTTTTCGCTCTGAAAATCCTGGAGTTTGCGAGTCTTTATTTATAGAACTTATTTTTGGTTTAAGTAAAGTCCTTTTTGGTGTTGTTTATTTGCCACATGGTAATATTCATAACTTTGAGGAGATACATGAAGATATTTTGTCCAGATACGAATCTATAATTGTTGTCGGCGACTTTAATTGTAACTTGTTCGACATTTCCAAATCGTCTGAAATGAGGAATGTTTGTCTTCGTCTTGGTATATCAATTACTCATAACTCGTTGCCTACCCATTTTAATATTGCTACTGATTCTGTTTCTCTTATTGATTTTTTTGCCTGCAGTCACCTCTGTTCTCTTATCTCCTCTGATCAAGTCCAATGTCCTTCTATTTCTCACCATTCTTTAATTTTTGGTATCACTAATATAAATTTGACATCAGCAGAACATTTTTTGAGTTTCGGAACTATAATGATATAAATTGGGACGGTCTGCTTGATTATCTCGTCAATGTTGACTTTAGTAGTTTATATAGTACATCTGATATTAATTTACAGCTTTCGTTTCTCCAGTTGCTTATTGCTAATCTTTTTTCATATGTTCCTATCGTTAGAAAACGTGTTGTACATTCCTTGGATCCGTGGCTGAAATGTAAATCTATAATACTGGCGATCTCTTTGCGTGATATGGCGTACAAAAATTATTTAAAATTTCCTACGCAGCAAAATATGGCGGTGTATCGAACCCTCAGAAACAAAGCTAAGTCTATTCTTAGAAAGGAACGTAAAAAATATTATGAAAAAATTTTCAATGGACTAAATGCTACTCATCTCTGGAGACAACTTCATGCCGGTGGTATCGTTGACAAGGACGTCAACCTCTCAACTGACTTTGATGTTAATGTTTTGAATGAATATTTTACTCAAGAAAATGGTGTTGGTAATGTTATTGTTGATTTTCCAGATATTGATAGACAATGTCATACATTTTCTTTTAATTGTGTTTTCGAGATAGATGTATTTGAAGCCTTTCAGCAGGTCAAATCGAAGTCTGTAGGTGTTGATGGAGTACCCATTAAATTTTTTAAATTAATCTATCCATATATTTCTAGACATTTCACCTATATTTTTAATACAATGTTTACAACATCGACCTTCCCAAATGACTGGAAAATTGCTAGGGTTTTCCCTATTTCCAAAAATAAAGGAAGGAACACTATTGAGAATTTGAGACCTATAAGTATACTACCGTCGCTTTCTAAAGTTGCTGAACATCTCATAAGGATGCAGATTCAATCATTTATAGATGACAATAAATTTTTGATTAATTATCAATATGGATTTAGGCGTGGTCTCAGCACTACTTCACTTTTAGTAGACTTAACTGACTTGATTAGAGAGACAATTGATGGACGTGATAGTGGTGTTCTTGTTGCGCTGGATATTTCGAAAGCATTCGATTGTGTGGATCATTCAATGCTAATTGAGAAACTGTTCTCATTATATGCATTTGACAGTAATTCTTGTAAATTAATTGCTTCATATTTATCTGGACGTTCTCAATATGTTTCATATAATGGCGAGGCATCCAGCTTACGTAATATTTACAGCGGGGTACCTCAAGGTTCAATTTTAGGTCCGCTTCTTTTTGTTTTATATGTCAATGACATTAGTAGCATTCTAACTAATTGCGACTGTCATCCGTTTATGTATGCGGACGACATTCATTTATTTTTTAAAGGTCAATCAGACTTTCAATTAGAGAATAGCATAAATACAACATTAGGTAATATTTCACGTTGGTTGAGAAATAATAATCTAGTAGTAAATGTTTTTAAGACAAAAGCAATGACATTTGGTTCACCTTGCCGACTGAATAGCGGTATTAATATACAGGTTAATGGTGTAGTGGTGGATTTTGTTGACCGCATAAATTGTTTAGGTGTTGTTCTTGATGCCAAGCTTGATTTTTCTTTGCATATTGATGCACTGTACCCCAAAATTATAAATATGCTACGAAAATTACACTCAACTGATTTCTATTTGCCCTTATTTGTAAAGAGAAATCTTGCTCATTCTATGTTATTTTCGGTAATTTCCTACTGTATTGAAGTGATTTCTGGTACAACACAAGAGTATTTAATGAAATTAGAAAAACTTTTTAACATCATTGTAAGATATGTTTATAATTTGCGTCGTTTTGACCATATTTCTGCGCATGCAGTCCTCTTTCTAGGAGTGTCATTCTCTACTTTTGTTAAACAACGCGTGGTTTCATTTCTATATAAATGTATCTGTTTAAATCTTCCCGGTTTTCAGCGAGATCGGCTAGTGTTCTCTCGGTCTACTAGGAATACGCAAATAATTTCCCTCATTTTTCTACGTCTCTATATGAAAGATCTTTCATAGTTCGTTCCGCACGAATCTGGAATCAGCTTCCAGCTGAGCTACGACAATTCTCGTTTTCCCGCGGTGTTTTTCGCCGCATGTTTGAAAACTTTGTAGAGGCAAATGGAGGTTAACAATTTGTTTGTTAATGATATTGACGACACTGTATCGTTTGATTCAATATTGTTTTTTTTTTTTATTACCAGCAATAGACTTAAATTTATTTTCATTGGCTGGGGAGCCTTTTTGTCCATATTTTACATATGATTTCTTAGGTTACTTTAAGATACACTATGTAATATTTAAGATGTTTTTTTTTTTATTTTGGAGTACACTTTTGTAGTTTTCTGATAGTTGTGATACTTATTGGCCTAATGGCTTTTTCATTGCAACATATAAATAAATAAATGAAATGAAATGAAATGATTGCACTATACATCGGATTACACAATTCCTCCCTTCACTGACGGCAACCCCGAAAGATACTTTTTCAATGTATCAATGCTTTTAATTTCCATCACCATTGGGTTTTATTCATCCTAGAAGAATAAATCCGATCTATTAAATCTGAAATATGTTGACTTTGGCTTTCCGGTCTTTCATTTTGAGGAAATGAAAATTGTATTTTTTTCATTTGATAAATCAAAACTTCATTTTCAAAGGTATAATATTTAAAAAAAAATAATAAAAGTGCATTATTTTGGGATTTCACATCACTCTGCAACAACAACTGTACAAGTTATAATGCTTGAAAGATTTCGAGCAACAGTGGAATAGAGCCATGATGCCTCGTTACTAACACAGCTATGCAACCACTTTGTTTAATACACCTTTAGTATAAGAAAATAATGTTTTTTTTTTTTTTATTATTTTGACAAATTAAAAACATAAATAACAACTTATCAAATTTATTACCAAAGAAGATGATTTATACATATTGTATAATACAAAATTAGAATTTTACATGTTAACATCTGTATTAGAAATCAGTTCGATAAGTTTAATATAAGAACTGCTTATTTCATATATTTATTAATTTGTATTTATTGCTATGACTATTTTTTGTATTCAACAGAAAACATTCTATATACATATTTAGATTTTTAGTTTTGGATCATATTTTTTTCTCCGATCGGTTTCAACAGATATACATATTTCAAGAGTCTATATCTATATCAATAATCCAGTATGCTACAAAAATTGCAATTAAGGATATTATAATGATAATGTGGTGAAACAATTTTACAAAATAATCAAACTTCATATTTAACAACAACCAACAAATTTCCAAAATGTTCTCTTTTCCACCACAATATTTTTATTGTACCCCCGGCTTCATAACAAACCTTTAATATTCAAATGTTTTTTTCTACAGCCTCCTCGATCCCTCTTCCTCTTTACTAATGTACAGTCTAATATCGAATAATAAAATTACAATAATTGTAAACGGAACAATACATAAACAAATT